TTTGGGACAACAGCAACATCGGTCAGGCAAAACCATCGATTGAATATGATGTGGTCAATTTCGTTGTGGAACCATCCACCATAAGACTCCCATGCCCATCGTTTAGATTCGGCCTTAAGGAGCTATGAGTTACCATGGATGGTCGACATGATGAACTCACACAATCTCTCATCCTGTTTGTTCCATTTTATGTCATGGGTCCCAATGTGGAGTTCTTTGACTGATCTTGTCGGTCCTATCTTGGCATTAGAATCACCGACAATGATCTTGTAGAAGGTGTGGTCTTCTTTGTAGAACTTCTCCAGCTCTATGTAGAACTTCTCAATTTCTCCTTCATCATAATTGGATGTTGGTGCATAGACAACGAAGACAGAAACTGCTGGCAGTGAGCCATATCTATTCAAGTGTAATCATCCGATTTGGGTTGTTAGGAATTCAAATGAGTCAATGCTCATGGCCAAGTTCGTGTTGACAAGGACACCGACCCCTCTGACGCCTCTTTTGTCACATGTTCTGAGGAACAGTTCTTCCCCAGTGTCGAAAACGGCATGTTGTGATTGATGCCACTTGTCTTGGTCAGAGCAATGATGTTGTACTTGAGCTTTTGCACTTGTACCATCAGGTCCCCAATGGATTCATTTGATGCCAGCATATGTGCATTGAAAGTACAGACAATCCGTTTTGTCTTTCTTTGTTTTGGCAGCCATGTTCGGCCTTAAGATTTTATCAGCCTCTCCTTCCTCATCTTTCTTAACGCTGCCGTATTGGTGACTCCTTCAGGGTCAGGGGAATGAGATCTATTGTAATTACTGGTTTTGGCATATCAAATACACAACGCATAGCTTGCCAGGCTCTGCTGTGTGGGCAGAATACTCTCGGTAGCTTGCTAGTCTCTCCGAGAGGGACAGAGGCTTTTGGGGCAACCTCTAATCGCCCTTGTAGGCATTCCCATGGTTAAAACATATTTGAACCCTATCAAATATGGTGCATCAAACCTGGAAGATGGGTATTATGTGTTTTATGATGTGTCCAGAAAGCATCCTGTAGCATGGTGGAAGCTGGCTAGTGGAGGTAGTGGAGGTAGTGGAGGTCTGTTGGTGATGTATTTATTTGGTACCAGTAGGGTGGGTCTTCTGTGCGTAATCCAGTCCCTGGGTCTCTGGAGGTTGGTGAAAGAAGACAGGGCTGGGTAGGGTGGGGCTTCTGGTTTTAATCCCTTGCCTCCTGTAGTTGGTTGTAGCAAGCAGAGGATCTCTGTCCCCAGGTCTGTTGAGCCTGGAATCCAAGGTCTCAGAGCGTTTCAGTGTTTCAATATAAATAATAATTTCTTTCTGTGTTCAGTTAGTTTTCTTTAAAACACATTCTGAAAACTCCATTATCTATAGCTAATTTGTTTTTATATTGTTTTGTTTTGGGGCCATACCTGGCTGTTCTTAGCACTTACTCCTGACGCTGCTCAGGGTCACTCCTGGCAGAACTCACAGGCTAAAATAAGAGCTGACCCTGGGTCAGTCACATGCAAGGCAAGTGCCTCAAGCACTACACTTTCTGGCCTTGTCTGTGGGAACTGGAAAGACTACCTTTACTAAATCATTACATGGGATTAAACACCTTCGTTTGAGGATCCTCTCATCTCATTTTTCAGAAACCTTAAGACAGTCGAAAAAGCCTGGACAACACAAAAAAGTTTAGTATCCAATTTTCAGCTCCAATATTCTCTCACTTTTAGAAAGTTTCTTGTGTCTACTCTCTGAGAGGACAGGGGCTGCATCTCAAACTCGGATGTCTTCTCCTTACTTAGGCTAAATGTCACATATATTCATTCACAAGTATCAAGTCTTCATACCACCTCTATTAGCCCCATGCAATGCTGGGCAACTGAATAGTGAGGTCAAGAGAAAAAGATCTAGATTTTGTGTGCTTGTATGTGTACTGGGGACTAAACTAAAGGCTTCACATATACAAAATAAGTGCTCTTCTGCTAGGTTACATCCCCAGTTTTTGATAGTTTTTTAAAATATTATTTAGACGTCATGTGACAACTAGAATGGGAAGGAATGGGAGTGAAGATAGATGGTCGGCTGCAACTACACCACCTCCACTTTGCTGATGACATCGTTCTAATAACACCAACCATTAGCCAAGTGGCACAAATGATGGCCGACTTCGACTGTGAGTGTGGAAAAGTTGGACTACAGCTCAATCTCATGAGGACAATGTTTATGAGAAACGGCCTTGTTCCTGATGTTCCATTCACTCTCAATGGAACGAACATCTCTGACTGCAACAGTTATGTGTACCTAGGTCGAGAACTCAACATGACGAATGACCTGGCACCTGAGTTGCACAGGAGGAAAAAAGCAGCTTAGAATGCCTTCAAGAGCATTGAAGAAATAGCTAAGAGGACAAAGAACCTCCAGCCCTGGCACATCTCTTCGAGTCCACTGTTCTTCCTGCATTAACATATGCCTCAGAGACCTGGGCCTTACAAAAAACAGGATGAGAACACTATTTGGGTCTCCCAAAGAGGAATCAAACAAGCTATGCTTTGAGTATCACACTTCTCTCAAATGAGAGAAAGAATCCGAAGTTCAGACCTCCCTCAACGATCAAGAATCAGGGACGCTGTCACATTTGCCAAGGTGTCGAAAATCAGATGGACTTGATGCATAATGCAATTTGGAGATGACTGATGGGCTAGAGTCATTACCAACTGGATTCCACAGGATGTCAAAAGACCACGTGGCTGCCCATCTTCAAGATTGTCAGACTTCTTCATCAAGACCCTGAATGATCGGTTTGAGGCTCTTCGTGTTCCTGGAGCTAGCAGATCCCACTGGGCTACACTAGCACGAGACAGGGATGAATGGAGACGTTACTGGAGCCCACTGGAGCAAATTGATGAGTAACAGGATATCAAGTGATCAAGTGATAAGTGATTTAGACTGACATTTTACTTTGCCATCTCAAATTTGGAGACATTTTTCTACAAATTTTTCTTTTTTCAGAAATATTTCACTTCTAGGTGCTGGAGTGGTAATACAGTGAGTAGGATGCTTGCCTTTTGTACAGTTTACCAAAGTTCAATCTTTGGCATCCTATATGATCCCTGAGCATAAAGCTAGCAGTAAGCCCTGAGCATAGCTGGGAGTGGGTCCCAAACAAACAAACATTTTTCCCTCTTAGTTTTATTTCAACTATTTACTACTTGAAATATTCATGGCACTATGGCAAAATCTGGGTAAGTATACCCAAGAGAATCCTGATACTGTAGCCTAGCATGACCTCATCATGCCTGGTATGCAGTGATGGCCTAAGTTATGAGGTAAATGTCAGTGACCTTACATTAGAAAGTTTGAAGTATCTTTCTAGCCAAAGGAACTCGCTATAAACAAGTCCAATAAATGTACGTCACTGGGAATGATGAATTGACTTGATACCTACTGCTAATCACAATTACGGTCAGTCAAACTCAGAACATAATAGTTAATCAGTGGCACTCTGCCATTCCAAAATGGGGAGCTCCATTTGAAGAAAGATACAGAGAGATGAAAAACACAGAAGCATGAAGGAAGGCTGGGGCAATGTCAGAATTATGGACCCCTTAGCACTGGAGCCTGAGGGACCAGGATGACCAGTCAAGGATTGTGCCAAAATGTGTTCTATAACTTGCAAACAAACTTGGGACAGAAGTAATTCCATGTAGATAACATAAAATATTTTTAAATGCTCCTTATATTTCTCTACCTGTAATGTGAAAATGAAAAGATCTGGAGTATGTATGGTTAGTGGTCAAACTCCTGAACCTGTAGAAGAAAAGACAAAGGGAGTTGTGATGCTTCCTTTGAATATTTGAAAGGTGAGAAAATGAATATGGTCAATCATTTCTTCAGCATGTAAAGCTAGACTCACAATGTAAGAATTACTGGGAGGTAATAATAGAAGCACGCTTTCTCTAGCTTCTCACAGAAGCAGGTTGGCTTAAGAGGTAGTCAGTCACATGGAACACACACACTGCCCAGTGAACTATATGATAAGGGAATTCTGAACTAAGAGAGGATTAGACCAATAACCTGAAAGATTACTTCTCATACTACTGTAGAATTCTAACTTAAAAATTTAATTAGAAAACACTCAATATAAAATATTTAACATTCAGTGTAAAAAATGTCAAGTATTAGCCATATCTTATACCAAGCACTCCTGTTTTTTAATAATAGTTCAATTATAATGTATTAGAAATGCAGATTTCCAAGACTTATGATTAGTAGATGTGATTTTCTATTTTTAAAACAAACTGGTTAATTTTTAAATAGGTTAGCTGATTAACCTCAACCCATGTGTGAAAGTTAGCTATAAGTGTTAATAAGACATAACAAAGAGTTTAAACATACATATGTACAAATGATATTACTATGCTTGAAAATAAACCCACTGATTCCTCTTGAGTAAGTGAAAGAAGTGAGTGCTTAAAAATATGTTGGAATAATACCACATTTACTCTCTGGAATGTAGAATTTTAAAAAACAGGTTCTGATTCAATCCCTCAGACCAGGGTTATAGTAGGAAAGCATATGAAGTCAGTTCACAGCTGACCAGGCACAATGCCAGTCTCAGGCATTTGTCCATAGGCCATGTAGGTTCTGCCCCTGCTCGGCTTGGAACATGGGAGAGAGGCCCCTCTGTGAATAAAATCACACAGTTCACAAAATGAAGTCAGGTTAGAGCTGAACACCACAGCATGAGAACCATCGCGGAAGATTCAGATGCAAACCCAGTGCTTCCTAATCTCCACTTCTGAAGGTAAATACACTTCTAAGCAGTCTTCTAATTGCTTTTTGGAAAGGCAAACACAATTAAAAAAAACTGTATGGAGAAAACAAATTTGAAGAAGAGAAATGAGTCTTTGTACTCAGCAGGGAAAAGGAGGGAGATGTCAGGAAATGATAGCAGCATTTAACACATACCATATTGAGGAAGATAAACATGCACAAACAAACCTGAAGTTCTGCATGAACTGCCGAAACTTGTCCACTCTCTTTGCCAGTGGCACGATGACATTGATAAGAGTCCTGGCCATGTTGAGTCTCTCTTTTTTAACTTTCATGATAGGGCCAAATGGCCTAAACAAAACAAGTCGTCTGAATTCATGCTTGTGATCTCCTCTGAAAGTGAGTTCATACAAAGTGCCTTTATCCTTTTCTGTTCGGTAGATCCCTGTTAACAGAAAATGGAAAGGTAGTTTCAAATTTAGGCAGTCAGTGGGTAATGAGTGTTTAGTATAGCCAACGTAATTTTAAAGCATAAAATGCCCTTTAGAAATAAGTATTGGGGCTGGAACAATAGCACAGCGGGTAGGGCGTTTGCCTTGCATGCGGCCAACCCAGGTTCGATTCCCAGCATCCCATATGGTCTCCCGAGCACCTCCGGGAGTAATTCCTGAGTGTTGAGCCAGGAGTAAACCCTGAGGATCACCGGGTGTAACCCAAAAAGCAAAAAAAAAATTGACTTTCTCCATCTAATAATGTTCAGAAAACTCAAAATGCTCCCAGTTTTCAAAATCCCCAAAGAAATCAAAATATCATCAATTTAAAATTAAGTTTAAAATAGTTTATAAAAACTGAAGAAAAGATGTAACATTGAGTACAAAGTTTTATTTATGCTATTTATACTACCTAAAGGCTGTGATAAAAAGTCTATAAGAAAATAAGCAAAAAATAAGATTATCTGTGATGTGGATAGAGTAATGTAATTTTTGCCTTTCTGCCATTATCCACATTTTCTGCAACATGATTAGAAATTTTATAATAATTTTATGTTTGATTGTGAAAGTTTAAATTATCTTAAAAAATTATAGCCATTTTGAACTGAGCACATCAAAGCAAAGAACAGACTGGTGGTTGCCAGTGGTGAGACGTGGGTCTGGGCAAAATGGCTGAAGGCAGTCAGAGGCACCAGAGCTCCCAGTATCAAACATTTTAAGTCATGGGATGAGATCCACACACTGGGAATACAGCTAATAGCACTGGGGCTCATTTGAAATATGGTAAGAGTGACCATAAAAGTTCTCATCACAAGAAAAGAAAATATAGTTGTGTACTTGATGCTAACTCAGTTTATTGCACGAACATTCTGAATAAAGACAAATATAAAATCATTACAGTTGATATTTGCCTATATATGAAAACTATGGCATATGTCCATAAAACCTAAATAAAAGAATTATATTCATTTCAGCTAAATTGAGTATAGGGAACTATGCAGAGCATGGAGAGGTTAGGGGGCAGCTGCATGGATTACAAGTCTCTAGAAAGTTCTGACAGCATTAGACAAACACAATGTGTTATGTGCTTGGCACAATGGCATCATACATGGTCTTAGTTCAGTTCATTTCTTTCTTCCAACTCTTGGGTACAGTACAGCTCAATGTTTCAGAGTCCAAATTTTAGGTTCAAATCCTGGTTGCACAGGTTTCCTTTGGGAAATGTACTTTTCTCTGTCTCATTTTCCCCACATTACCATATTTTAATAGCTGTGATGAAGCTAGAACATATCCTGTATATAGAAAATGCTTGCTATCAAAATGATTCCCCTCATCAGTCAATCTGTTACAACAGCACATACTGGAGATATTGGAGCAGGCAGGAAGGTGATGGACACTCACCAACTGTGTTCCATATCGTGTCTCAAAGCCCACAGCTCCATAGGCCAGACTGAAGACAAGACCCAGCCTCAACCTACTTCTGGAAGAAACCTCCTATCATGTCCCTGTGTAATACCGCAAACAATCCCCTGAGACTCACACCTTCTCTGTATCAAATCCTAGTATAATATCACAAGAAAAAGTAAAAAACATGGGGGCCAGGAGATAATATGTGGTTAGGTTTGATTCCTGGAACTACATGGTCCCACAAACATTGCAGGATGCAGTCCTGAACCCCCAAGTCCTGCCAGGTATAGCTGTGGAGAGACACCCAGCCCCAAGCCCAGCAACACTGGGGTGGCTTTGGTACCCAGGCACTGTAGGGCCCAAACAGCATCACATCCTCAGGCCCTAGAACTGAGCTATAACCTGGCTGACTGAGACTCACTGCCGCATGCCTTAGTCTTGTGAGCACTGCTTGCAAGCACCCTGAAAGCTGTAAAATTTTATCACCAAATAAGCTCCCTCATTTTTGTCTTTGTTTTGCCATGTTTCATAACCTATTTTTTCTTCCTTTCAATTCCCATATTAGTTAGAATGTCTTTTACAATCTTTGAGTAGCTACAAAGGCAAAAAAAATTATTTTTGTGGAGTCCAGGAAAAGTAACCACCTGCTGTCAGCTACAGGCTTCAAAGTTTCTCACAAATTGTTTCTCTTTTCTTCTCTTCCTTATTTTTCCTTTCTTTTCTTTTGTAGAAACTATAAATCTTGACAAACAAGCTGTTATTTTCTCCATTCTGTGCCTAAAGGTAGCTTTTTATCCTCAGTTTTACTGTTCTTCTGATCCTGCTCAAAATTTTAGATCTCCTTTGACACAGTGAAGAGGAAGGTACTGACTCAAAATTCAAGGTACTTTCATTTCTTTTAACTATGCCTCCTGGTCCGCCTAGAGATTCAAGAGACACCAGCTACTGGCAACACAGCATAAATAATTTAAGGTCCAGAGCACAAGCTACAAAGACTTTCTTGAGTACCAGGCAGAACATACCCATTCAATAGCTCTCAGTTTTGCTGAGCTTATGTGGAACAGAAGTCAGAACCCCTCCAGGGCCAGTCTTGAAAGAGGAGGTTCATCCCTCAGGAAGCTCAAAGAAGTGTGAAATGTTAAGTGGTTCTCTTCAAAGTCTGTTCATTCAGACCATGCATGGTGAAGAGGCCAGATTTTCCCCACCATTGATATCCAGAGCAGCAGGTAAACTACCCTCGGAACCAAGTTAGGCTGGACTGTTTCACAAAGTGTGCTTCCAGACGAGTCCTCTGCCCAGCTCAGACAGACCTTCCTGAGAGTTGGTTTGCACCTGACCAGGCTGTCAATGCAGCATTAGTAAGTATGGTTTTTCACATAGTCAGCTACTGACAGCCTAAGGTACAAATTAAAAGATAGATGGGTCAGGCACTGCTTCTGTTAATAAAGTCATTTTCTTTCTCAATTCTATAAAAAGAATCATTAACTTTTGAAATCTAAATTCTGAGCTTAAAACAATAATTGAAGGGCCAGAAAGATAGTAATAGCAGGTAAGGCACTTGTCTTGGATGCAGCTGACCAGCTGGCACCCCATATGATCCCCCAAGCCTGTCAGAAGTGGACTCCAGGCTCAACAGACCCGGGAAAAGAGATCCTCTGCCTGCTCCCAGCAGCCCAGCAGACCTCCACTACCTCCACTACTCAGCCACCTCTATGCTCCAGGACGCTTTCCGGACATTCTGGCCAAGACTCAAGCACGTGTGAAGCCCCACAGAACCAGGGAAGCGGAACTCTGTGATCTTGGACTCCAGGCTCAATGGACCTGGGAACAGAGATCCTCTGCCTGCTCACAGTAGCCCAGAGGACTCCACTACATCCACTACCCAGCTGCTGCCATGTTCCACGATGCTTTCCAGACCCAGCTGCAAAGCGGCCATGCAACACATCATAAAACACTTAATAAAAGATTACCGCACCATATTTGATGGGGTTCAAATATGGTTTGAACCATGGGAACACCTGCAAGAATGATTAAAGGCCGCCCTAAAAGCCTCTAACCCTCTCGGAAAGCTTGGCAAGATACTGAAAGTCTCCTGCCCGCACGGCAGAGCCTGGAAAGCTACCTGGGTTGTATTCTATATGCCAAAATCAGTAAATAAAATGGATCTCACTCCACTGACCCTGAAAGAGCAACCAATACGGCAGCATTAAGAAGGATCAGGAAGGGGAGGTTGATAAAATCTCAAGGCCAAACTAGGCTGCCAAAACAAAGAAAGACAAAAATGACTGTCTGTACTTTAAATGCATGAACGCTGGCATCGGATGCATCCATTGAGGACCTGATAGTGCAAGAACGGAAGATCAAGTATGACATCATTGGAGACGAGAAGGTATCAGTCACATAATGCCATTTTCGACACTGCAGAACTGTTCCTTGGAACATGCGACAAAAGAGTCGTCAGTGGTGTCGGTGTCTTGTCAATATGAACTTGGCCATAAACATTGATTCATTCAAATGTCTAACAACCTGAATCGGATGATTACACTTGAATAGATGTGGCTCAATGCCGGCAGTTTCTATCTTCATTGTCTATGCACCAATATTCAATTATGATGGAGAAATTGAGAAGTTCTACATGGAGCTGTAGCAGTTCTATTAAGAAGACCACACCTTCTACAAGATCATTATCAGTGATTTTAATGCCAAGATAGGACTGAGAAGATCAGCTGAAGAACTCCAGATCAGAACCCATGGCCTAGAATGGAATGAACAGGGTGAGAGACTGTTTGAATTCATCATGTTGACCAAGACCACTCATAGTAACTCGTAAATCCAGAAGGCCGAATCTAAACGTTGGACTTGGGAGTCTCCTGGTGGATGGTTCCATAACAAAATGGACCACATCATATTCAATCAACAGTCTTGCCTGACCGATGTTGCTGTTGTCCCAAAATTCCAAACGGGATCGGACCACCATCTCCTTCTTGCAAAATTCTACTTCACAGAGTGGGGAGAAAAGGCTGCAAAGTTTAAGAAGAGAACTCCCAGAACAACCACCAACTGGGAGCTCTTTGGCACTATTGCGGCAACATGGGAAGATGCTGTCATTTACAACATTGACGAGGAATACGATGGACTGGTTCAGCAACTCCATGATTGTGCAAGGAATGCCGAGAGAGAGATAGCCACAAAAAGATGAAAACTCTTGAGCTCATTTGCCAATGTGGCTGTGTGCAAGTCTCAGGCAACTGCAAGCAAATGTCCAAGCTTGCAAAGCAGTGCAGAGAAGCAATAAAGGAAGACCTCAAAAAGAGAACAGCAGCAGTACTGGCAGATGCGGTAGAAGCTGGGAAAAGCATTCACAATGCCCACCTGTCCTTCGCCAACTACAAGACCAAGATGACTGCCCCCCAATGTCCTGATGGATCTATAACATCTTCCAGAAGGGCAATGGAGAAGATCATCCATGACTTCTACTTGGATCTTTTCGATAGCCACGTCCACCTGCCCACATACCAAATTCTGCAGGATGGATATGTCATTCCCA